CTCCAGACCTGGAGGAGGAACTACCAATCGTGGAGGTCGGAAAGCTGGAATAAGGGGACATAGGGCCCAAAGGAAAGAAATGAGGATAGGGTAGGGTTTACAGTTGCCTCGTGGTTAGAACTTTCCCTGTACCTAGCCTCCTTGAGCCGGCGCAATGCGGCCACAGAAAAGCTGCCCAGCCACCGCCGCAGGCACGTCAGAGACCCGCAATGGTAGGTGCTCGCCGGGAATGGCACGTGCAAGTGCACGGGCTAGCACCCGAGGCGCTGACGTTAATGAATTCTTCTTCTTCTTCTTCTTCTTCTTCTTCTTCTTCTTCTTCTTCTTCTTCTTCTTCTTCTTCTTCTTCTTCTTCTTCTTCTTCTTCTTCTTCTTCTTGGATGGGTCGGGTCATGGGAAGCCTACCAACTATCAGGGCTTTCCCTATATACCCGCAGACATCGATCCCGCGAGTTTTCCGGCCTAGGAGGTTGCGGTGCCGCGCCCGATTTTCCGAAAATTTATTTAGTATGGGTAATTTTAAAAATCGACCCACGGCCACCAAACCCACCCCCGCGTTAGGCCTCCAAATCTAACTTGAGCACTTTGGGTCCCAATCTCGCTTACAGCGGGGAACGCAGGGCAGTGGGCCTATTAAGCCCTATAAGGGCCCTAAACCTAGCCATCCTGGTAGGGACCCAATGGGTGCCTGCAGCCTTACTGCACGCTATGCATGCCCGCTAACAAACAAAGTGCAACACCCTAGCACTTTCCACTATAATAAAGTGTAGGGCAAGGATAGGTTAAGCTTAACGCTAAGCCTAATACTAATTACAAAAAGCGTTGGTTACAGTAGTAATACCGTTTTTGCACAGTATAGTATTAACGGGAGTGAAAACACTACACCTCTGGAGGAAAGATATTGTTAGGTGAGTCCGAGAAAGGGGGTAGGCCAGGGGGCAGGAATACATTAATTTGGCGTGATTTTGTATGGGAAAAAATGTAGTTGGGTACGTGACCTATAAGAAAGCCCCGTAGGTTAAACAATATCTTTCCTTCGAACTTATGCAATGAACGTGGCCCAAGCAAAAATTTTAAAAAAAATTAAAAAAACGAAAAAGTAAATAACTGCATCAAAATGTGAAAGTACCCACATTATCCGTCGCCCACTGAAGAAAATCTCTCAGGTCGTGGCTAAGGTTCTTTCCCATAGGTACAACCTCGCCCGTAATATCAAGCTCGAACATAGGACTTTCTGGCAGGCTTTCATCGCCCCTTTCCAAATCTAAAACGAACTGCTGCTTATGCTCCCCCAAATGCTGTGACCCGAACACCCAGTGCTCGACATCATAGCCCTCGAGCTTGAGTCTGGCATCCCAGCGCCCCGGTAAAGGTTCGTTTACCGACGGGATGAGCAGGCCATTGTAAACTTGCGCCATTTCGGGTTGCTTCATTGAGCCAAAGCTGTCCGTATGCGAGATGGAAGATTCAAGCATATCTGTCGGCTTGGATACGTTGGATACACCACCGGAATCGCGGTTCCGGTCTAGCCTGTTGTTGCCGGCCAAACCTCCTGGCCTGGTATCATCTCCACCCTTCTTTTTGGCCTTTCCGGTATTTCTATTATTGTTGCGCTCGTCTTTATCGGAGCTCAAGAGGCCCCCAATGCCCCCAAGCCCGAACCCATCGAGCCAGCACGCAAGTTCGTCGACATCCAGTGTTTCCGATCCTTGAGTAAAGTGTATATGGCTAGAAGGAAAGCCATCGGTACCATCGGAAGGGGTGGGCCTTTGAAGAGCGGCCGAGTCTAGCGTTTTGTAGCTTCCCAGCCTTTTAGCTCCGAAAGTGTCAATGTCGGACCGGGAAAGACGGATTGGGCCATGGCGGAAGGTGGGCATGGTGATTGTAAAAGGGCTGCATGGTAAATATACGTGGGTAGACGTAGCCGGTTGTGCCTCCTGCGCCTGCTGCCTCGTCCTGTTTTGCGCTATTTGCTGTTGTGCGTGTTGCTGCGTAGTTGAACCTTTTTCCGCATCAGTGATTACAATTTTTGGAATGTCGAGCAAGGGCAGTAATTGAGGAGGCTGCAGCCGCGGTGGGCCGTTTCCTTCCGCTTTGTTTTGTCGCTGCGGTAGTACGCCGGCCGCAGCGATCCCGGTCAGGAGGTCCTCAAGATGAAATGGTTTAATCGGTGTTGCGCCGTCGTTGATCTGGACTCCGAGGGCGGCTTCCACCGCGGCAAAGGCTTTGTCAGTCTCTTCCCGCGACGAGTCCATCTCAAGTCCAGGCGTGGATACTGAAGGCAATGGCATATCTGCCGTTGGACGGATGGAAAAAGTTGGAAAGTCCCTATTTGTGAATGCCCTAAGCGAGCCGCTGTAGCGGTACGAATAAGTGGACGGACGTGGAATTGGTGGCCGCGGTAGTGAAGGGC